ATCGGCACAGCATGATTAGAATTATGTGTAGCTATGTCGGTAGCAATTCCTTAATTCAATTAAAGTATTTATCACGCATCAAAACTATAATACTGAAAAATTTTGCTCATATATTCCGGACCATATTCAGTTATATCTAATTTTCTACCATGTACTCTATCAGGTTTAATTACACATCCCTGAGTTTCACGAGAATAATACCATCTTCTACCATAATTTACATCAATTTTCCAACCGTCAACAGCGCAAAGTTTTTTAAGTAAAGATTGACTCATTTCGATTGTGTGAATTGAATGTTTTTTCTTTGCTATGGAAGAGAATATACTATTTGTGTTTAATAAATTAAAACATGGAATTGAGGTAAGATCAATATATTGTAGAGTTGGTATTGCAGTTAAAAGTTCTTTAACAAGATTTATATTGGTAATTTGTGCTTTTGAAATTCCTAGATTTTCTAATGATGAACAATTCTCTTTAATTGCAGTTAAAATTAAAGGTGTTATTTGTGAAGATCCGATATCTAAAGTACGGAAATTCTTTACGTTAGGTGAATGTAATATAGTTATTAAATCACATTCTTTAATAGCAGTGGAGATATCTCTTTCACCGTAAAGATTAAGAGCTTCCAGTTGAGAACATTTAGAAATAAAAGAAGAAATAGAACTAGATGAAATGTTTTTACATTTAGCTAATAGTAAATGGGATAATTTACTTGGAGCATTAGATCCAGCTAAAAAGTTTAATGTTAAATCACTGATGGAACAACCACCTAGATCAAGATGCGTAAGATTTGGTGCATGAGCAAGAAGGGGTATGATAGTTGAATACTCCGAAATGATTGGACATTCATGAAGTGAAAGTCTTTGTAGATGAAATAATAAGGGATTATCAATTGTTTGAAAAGTAACAGCCGTATCTTCATTATCATTATCGTTATGAAATTGGTCAATTTTGACGCGACCAATTAGATGTGTAAATTTTTCTAAAGCATTGCCAAATTGTTTACTAGAGCATCCGCAAAAATCAATAATCTTGATATTTTTACATTCTAAGAATAGAACTTTTAATACATCAAGAGTAATTACAGATTCTAAAGATTCAGATATGGAAAAGGCTTTTAATTCAGGGAAAGACCTCAGAATATGAATTACAAGATCCGGAGTAACGACATTTTGAATAGCCGAAGAACATTTTTGCAGACCACAGGTTGAAAAAGTGGAAAAATCCAAATGACGAACCATTTGAGAACAACGTTTTTTAATATCATTAGTAGCGTTAGCGAAAAGTGTAAATGTATAAGGAAAAGTAAACGTGATAGTATGATATAAAATAGGAGTAGCGTAAAGGTTAAAAGTATGATTAACTAATGCACAAACAGCAAGAGTTTTTTTATCATCTCTTAATAAATTAAGAATCATACGAATGATTTCGGGAGGAACATAAGGAATAGATTTAATTGTCTTCACCGGAATAATTTCCGTCGAAATAATTTGAGAACTGATAAGAGAATGAGATAATTGAGATAAAGTAGAGTCTGACATTTTAATAAGTAAATTAAGTTGTTAAAAGATTGTCACAAAGATTATCAGATTTTCTGCAAAATGTTTCGTGTTATGTTAAAATGGGTAAGTGTAATTTTGGGCTTTATATAATTACGTTAAGACAAGAAACCATTGAAAGTTTATGAATTATTTTAATATTATTCACTGAAAACGGAAAACATCGAGAGTACTCATTGATCACCTTTTGTAGCTTAATGCATATTCTGAACAATCATAAGCAACTTATCGTTTCAGATCTTACACATAATGTAAACCTTTAATTTCCTGTTACTGTTACACTAAATCTTAAATAATACAGTAGTTAATGCTAGGGTAACAATGTGAAACTAAACAAACGATTAAAATCAATGATGGCCTACTCTAATTCCTATTGTTATTGTCATAACTTAAACTAATCGTTTACACATTCTTAACTATAATTGAAGCATTCATTCGATGCAGTATGTATATGCGCATAAACATCCTAGCACAAAAAAAAAAAAAAAAAAAGAATTATTCTAGTATTCACTCTAATTTTATGAAATTAAACTTTATATACTTTGTCAACTGCACTTACGTACGTACAATCTAGGTTCGCACGTACAATCTAAATTCACTCGTACTTACAATCGAAATTCACTCGTACGTACAATCTAAATTCACTAATTCTGTACTCCATCCTATCCATACGTACGTAATGATAGAACTTCAGTGTACCAAAGGGTAACGGTTATGTAATTCAATTTATTTCACTAAAAAAGTCATTTTATTTATAACTTACCTTACCCCAACGCAAAATAGGTCACACTTACTTTTTCGGTTTTTTTTGTTCGCGGAGCTTTTCAATATATTGCATGAATATGGTGTCTAAATTTGTTAAGATTTTCATTCGTAAGTGCACACTAATTTATAATACCATATTGTATCACTTTGGTAAATGCTTAAATTAAGATAAGAATTCGATTGTGCGTGCGCGCGTACGTACATACGTACGTATGTACCTAGATATTAATATGTACGTACGTACATACGTAAATTAATAATTACATATTTTTAATGCTAAGCTTCTTGTAAATTATTATTTAATCGTATAACTATTTGTTACCATAATTCTAGTATTTTCTATTTTTCTGGTCTAAAAGCTAATTAGTATTATTCAAATTGTCTCAAATTGATTATTATTACATATTATGCTCCAATTATGTATGAATTATTCCTATATTAGTAATATTACGGTAATTGGTTAAAAGTGAGTTCTTTTAGAATAAACTAGGAAAAGTGTATGAAGAATATAACACTATACTGTTCTAAGATTTTCTATTTTGTACCAATTTTGTTTTTGCATTGTTTTCCAAATAATATTTATTGAATTTTGATTGTATTTATGTTTTATTCATTAAGGGTTTAAAAATTAACAAATTGTGACGCATTTCGAAAATAAATAGTTTTTCAATAACATTTTTACTATGTTAAATTATAAATCGAAAAAAATGAAAATTCTATTATGTAATTAAATTTCGCAAAGTATTTATTCATTTTAAGAATTTCACATTCACAATTTATTAATTTAAAAACCAGAGATATGTAATATGTCATTTTTACATCATGAAAATTTGCTATAACTTATATGCAATTTATAGTGCATGTTGAATAAAAATACTCATTCAGAAATTTTAGAATTTTCTTTTTTTTATTTCAATATATTTGAATTATTTTTTTAAGGTATTAAATAGGGGTTGGAATGGGTGAAACTTTAAAATCGAATTGGATTGAGTTTAGACCGAGTTTAAATCGGGTTGATTTCAATACTTATTTTCATAATTTGATTTATTAACCGAATTAGCATTCATTTACAATAAAGCGATTTACTATTAAAACTGGTTGCTATTAAAACAGATTAATATTAAAACCGGGTTAGCCTGAATTTAAAGTTGAATCAGACAAACAGATTCAACCTCTAGTATTAAACATGCAATATTTAAGATAATGTAATTAATACAATTTTCCAATACTTTTATTTTTGAAATTATTGGTGTTAGTCTTACATTTTATGAATTTATCCAGCAACATTATTTTAGTAACCTGACCAACATTCCGACAAAATCCGGACAAAGCTGAAACGTCATATGAGGTGGAAAGTAAGATCGTACAATAATTCTAAAAAAAGAAATCCGGTTCAATTTTTAAATATTCTTTAAATTAATTAGAGTAAAATAGTTGGCAAGGAAATTGAATAAAATATTTCCTTTTGCTAAGAAAAAGCAGCGTGATTACATGATATTTCTTCTTATTCTTTTGCTATTGTCACGGGGTTCTTTAACGTATAATAATATTATGGACAAATACAGGGAAAAATAGGGTTAAGGCAACTTGCATATGATAGGAGGGAATTATCATGGGTTAATATTCTTATGTGCCCTTCCTTGCACGTAAGCGTCATAACCAACCTAAGCGATGGTAAACGGGTAAACAATGTTTTCTAGAGTGAATTAGGACATACTGTATAAAATTTTATTTGGACAAATTTGGAAATCTAAAATTTTATATGTCCATATATCTGTGTAAAATGAAATTTTATTGGACATAGTCCAAATGCAAACACTGATAATAAATGACCTGGTCATGCGATTAAAATTTAAACGACCCCAAGTCGTACAGAATAAGTTAAAGTTTTACTAAGCTAGTCGTTATTTGCAGTGTGTCTTAAGTACAGTTGTTTGGAATAACAAATTGCATATACTCTAAAAGTTTCATTTAATTTGAATAACTTTTTATTAATTCACCGCACTTCATATTTAATAAAATTCTTAATCTTTCATAAATGTGAAAGTGAATTAATAATAAGTTATCCAATTACATAAAATTTTTGAAGCAGTGCTAATTTTTCAGTTAAAATTTACTGTGCGGACACCGCACAATTTGGAAACTTTTCTGTGCGGCAATAAAGAAAACTATTTATAAGTGTGCAGACTACGTACAGAATGTTAATTTTTTCAGTGCGGCATCCGCACATCTGTTCAAAAGACAATGTGCGCAAAATTTTGTTTCTTTGTGCAGCGTACAGTCCACATAGCGAAAAATAATCCTTGTTTTGGATCATATGCAATTTGTTATTTTGAGCATTACTTAAAGCATAAATATTGACTAGCTTAATAAATCTTTAAAAGAGTTACGATTATTAATTATGCTTTCTCATATAAAAATTTGCATTTATCCTGTAACCAATTTTGATTGGTTAAAGTGTTAGAACATCAATCAACGTACGTATATTAAATAACCTTCTCAACCATTTAGGCATTCAGAAATGACTAATGACTAGTCATTTGAGTCATCAGGTCATTTCAAGTCATTTACCATTCTTGACCAGCCTTACCAAATTACGTCCTTTAAATAACTTTTACGAACGAATAACGAAACCTAAGAGGCTTAAGTATCTGAAGTTATACTATGCCCTTTTCATTGTTACTCACCTTTGTGATTTTCTATGACATCTTTCCAATGACCTTCAGCCGATCAAGCTCATTCGTCATCTCAGCCTGTTGAGACTTTTTTCCCGTAACAATGTTGATTATTATCTTGATACGCTTCGTTCAGTTCATGCATTTTAAGTAGAGATGCGTCTTTGCCTCTCATGTTTTTCTCTTAAGCTAATGATAGTCACTTATTTTCCGCCTGTAATGACTTTATTTGGATTATTTTATTATACAAGGAATGGAGTTTCACGGAAGTGAAACGAAAGGGATAGTTTACAGCCATGTTCATCCACGATTTGATTGGTCAACGTGATCGTAGATCATTCCTTTTCGACATTTACGGATGGTGTCACGGGAAATTTTGGCAATCCTTAATTACTTCATAATTTATTAATTATTACGTATATTATATTTTTCCTTTTAT